CCCGCTTTGTCTTCAGCAGTTGTGTCGGGAAGGTGAGCATCATAGAATGCCAATTTAATAGAACAAAGTATTCTTGCGTTGAGGGAGTACTTGAGTGGAGGCCCAATGTCCTCCTGCTACCTTAATACTAAACGTGCACTGAGGGGTTTACTCTTCCTCTGCACGGAGGGTGCGGAGGAGTGGGTAGGAGCTGGTGGTCACGTGAATCAGTATCAACTAGAAAATCATCAACAACTACAACCATTTGCTGCAGATCTTTTTGCCAATGTGACATTTGTACAGATTTTTTAGTATTTTTGTAGACATATTAATTGTTCTTTCACTTTTTGAACTTTCAATTGGAAAATCTTTTTGCATTCCAAGCTAACTTAAATATTTACTTTAACTTTATTTCAATTTGTACTGTTTTTATTTTTTTAAGTTGAGTAATTCAGAGATATCTAGAATATATATTAATGTATGAGATGTATTTTTTCCAGATTCAACTTCTTGTTTTCAGTTGTTGAGTGATTTGTCAAATATGCCCTGATTTTTGATAGTTTCTTTTCCATATTTTGTTGCTACATTATTTAGGGTTCTTTTCTTCAACATTTTATACTTTGTTTTGGTGGTTGTGTTAGTCTGGGTTGACTAGAGAAATAAATTCATAGAAGTTCATGTATGTCAGAGAGAGTTTTATATCAAAGAGTAGTTGTACTTAAGTACTTAAGTTGTACTTAAGTAGTTAAGAAAACATTCCAACCCAGTCCAGATCAAGTCCATAAGTCTGATATGAGCCCATATGTCTAATACCAATCTATAAAGTCCTCTTCACACTGACAAAGCACATGCAATGACGCTGAATGAGGAAAATCACAGGCCAGTAGGTGGGAACTCTTGTGGATCCAATGGCATTGTAAACACTTTAGCACTGGCAGGGGTCTCCATGTGGTTTCTCCAGCTACAAGGGCTCTGATTGCATCTGGTAGGTCCACGTGGCTTCCCCTATTCCCCTAATATGTCAAGGTGAAACTACAGTGGCACAGTACAATTAAAGTGCACTATAGCTAACTGAAATATTGGCATTTTAAATTTGCCAGCTGCTTCATGGGAGAGAGAAGTCTGATTCCATAAGGATTTATAGCATGGAAAAACTCACGGAACAGATTTATTCTGTCTTTACAAGGTCACAATAAGTCAGAATCAACTTGGTAACACTGGGTTTTTAACATGTCCAGCAGATTCTCATAAGATGATTCTTTCCAGAAAATTTTAAATTCTTATGTTTTCAATTTCCTGTAAATGCTAATAACGTTATGCAGCAATTGAGTGAAATCTGAAGCATTGTATGCCCACCAGTAAGAGTCAACCATACTCTCTATATGCCAAGCACATGTTCATAGATAATTCGGTATAGTTATGTAATCTATTTATTTGTTTTATTATGAACATTTTATTTTATAATGTCTACTAAGGAGTCACTCATGTATATATAAAACCTAATGATTTATATAATATGTTGGATAATAATATACTGTGAAAGTGTGCTAGCTTATTAATTAGAGTGCTTCAGTTGGTATTCATGTGCTTCACGTTCTGTTATTCATTTGGTATTACTGAGTAGTAAGTGTATCAATAGATGAATGAAATCTTATTTCTCTTATCTTAAATCTTATAGTTTCTTAAAATCCTCCTGATTTAAGTGTCTTTTTTCAATAAATAGACTTCAGGAACAGAGTTTTTATTTTTTTGCAAATATACATCTTTTTAGATTGGCGACATATTTCATATTAATTTCAATCATTAGAACTCATATTTTTGTGATTTTATCTCCATGTAATTTGAAAATTTTAAAATATTTTTGCCTTCTGGCTATTGCCAGGGCAGTAGATTAAATTGCACAAGAGGATTACTTTCATTGATTTGCCTTGTAAACTAGAGGCTTGGTTGTTATTGGTAGGGGCCATCAAGTCCACTACAATTTACAACTACCCTCTCTCTGTGTACAACAGAATGAAATATCACCCAGTTCTGCACTATCCTCACAACCGTTCCTGTGTTTGAGGCCATTGTTGCAGCCGCTGTGTCAATATAAAGACTAGAGACTAGCATCTAATCCAACTCATTGCCATCCAGTCAGAATTAAGAGTGACCTTAAATAGGGCTTCCAAGACTGTACATCTTTATGGAAACAGGCAGCCTTATCTTTTTCCCATCGAGTGGCTGATGGGTTCAAACCACCAAGCTAGCAACTCAACATCTAACTCACAGCACCACTTGGGTTCCTTAAAGGGACCAAGATAATAGACAAATAAGCCTGTACACGTTTGCTTCTGTGTAGAATGTTCCTGAGAATGAACAATAAAACTGCCTATCAAATGCACTTATTACTTCAGGTAGTTAATTTGCTCATGGTGATTACTCAAGGCATTACTATTAAAACTACATTTCAAAAGCCTTATTATTCTTTAAAAGAAAGAATAAAATTATAGTTCTATGTTTAATTTACTGTGATTACTTTCTCTACAGCTCATGGGACATTCGGATTGGGATCATAAGCGAGGGCCAAGAGGATCTCAGGTAAGAATTTCATTCCTTGATTCCTTTTGTTTCTCAATGCTTAGATGGGCCTGGGCTTTTCTAAACCTTCAGAAATAATGAGAAGTAAAGAGAGGACCAGACAAAACAATTATGCTATTTGTTTGTATTTCGGTTAGCTGTAATTAAAGTCTGGATTTCAACCCCCAAAGGCAGATTTCAGTATATTCTTCCTAAGAGCTTTCTGTCATCCCAGATTGGTTGTGTTTATGTGAATGTCAATTTTATATTCATCTTGTCTCTGCAGAATACATTTTGATCAGCAACCCACACTCTTGATTTTATTCACTTCCTTTGGTAATTTCTCTACACATTCTCTTGTTTTCTCTGTCTTCCTGTTTTTGGTTAAATATTTTGAAATATAATCAGAGAAAACCCTGAACTAATTAGAGATTTTGTCTCTAAATTAACTGTCTGAGTCTTAGGGAAATAGAAAGATGAAAGGGTCCATTATTTTTGAAAAGAAACAAATTCTAAACCTTTCTATATTACCAGACTGTTTTCATTGTCTTCCTTGATGTCGGAGGCAAGGAGAAAAGCTTCCATGACGCATTTGTGCTTTTTAATGACCTAATTAGACCATGTGGATTTGTTTTGCTTCCAGAATTACTTTGCCTGACAGAATCAAGGCTGAGTTTTAAATGACGAAAATTACCTCTTCTCCTTGGATATTTTGAGACGAAATGTAAAAATAATTTGCCTCACAATAACCAATGTTTACCTGGCTGTGAAGAGGTCAAAGAAAAACTGGACGGTGGAACATGGTTCCCTCGGCAGCCCTCAGTGTGTATGCCACATGAAAGCCTATTGTGTAACGAGATAGTTTATTTCTGTGCTGCCAATCAGAGTTTAACATGAAGGATGCGCTCCTCCCCAGTGTTGCGCACAGCATCCCCTACCTGGGCTTCTATTGAGTTGGCACCTGGAGCAGGTTAATTTAGGTCCTTGAAAAACAAAAGTAAGTGAATGGATTTTTTTAGGTTAAAAAATGTAACAGCTAAGATGAATTTTTGTCCATTATCAATTGTATTGATAAATTGACATTTTACCCCATTGCCATAAAATCTATTCTGATTCATAGCTATCCTACAGAACAGAGCAGAAATGCCCTACAGTGTTTTCAGAAACAGACAGCTATGTCTTGGTTTGAGCCACCAACTGTTAGCTTAGCAGCCGAGCATGTAACCACTGTGCTGCCATATATACTAATCCGATTAAATTAGGATTATCCCAACAGAATTTATGGTCTACATTCTTAATTTCACTCCAAATTCTACATCTCCATTTTTGTCTGACAGCGATCCCTCTGCACACATTATAAACCAGAATTTGAATGGCTCTATGCAGCTAGGTAGGTGTCAAATGTAAGAGTAATGTCTGATAAATGCTTTGTGATGCTAATTCAATAAGAGGTACAGATGAACACACTTAAGGAACCACATAGTTCTGTGGTTTCTGTGTACTGCCATCAAAAATATTTTGATAGCTAAAACATGCCGAACAGCATTTCACATATGTCCCTTCAAAGTAAAGTAGTGCTGTATTTTTTTAAAGTTGGTTACACTATAGCTGGTTTAAGTCACCAAATATCATGTATCATCAGGCTTGCATTGGACACTCTGTCAATATAAACAGAAAAACAAATCTCCCCAAAATTCAACATTGCTTGTGATGACTGTAAGCAGAGCAGATATGAAAACTATTCTGAATATTGCATGTGGTTAGAAAGCTTCAGAATTCTACAAACACAAAAATAATGATTCCTCAACAAAACTGGATTATATTTGAGAGTCCAAAGTGTTTCTTAAACATAGAAATCAAAACATTCTTGCTTGAATTACTATTACATAAGCATCATAGTTTTCTTGGATCTTGTAAC